ACTAGCTTTAAGGGATTACCGTACATACCTCGAAGCTGTAAGCAGGCTTGCATCATGTGGAAATGTATGCATAACGGAGGAGACTGTTATGATAGGGGAAAATGGCTTGCTTACTGGCGAAGCTCTAAATGCCCTTCAGCATGCTGGTGCAATATCTGTATATAATACACTTCAACAGAACAATTGGGAGTTTCCTGTTCCTGAAGGTTGTTGCTTAAATTTGTAATAGATCTTAGAGGGTGAGGTTGCCATTGTAAAGTCGCATACATCTGTTCCTGATGAATTCCTGGATTCTGAGAAACCTATTAGAGCTGATTGGCCGGCTATTCACGTATCAGAATGCTTTATTGAAGGGGAAAAAGCAAAGCTGCATGGTTCTGTTAGGCCCCTTAAAACCTTCATACCACCAACCGTTGTGTTTAGAAATGCTGCGGATGTTGATGAGGATACCTCCGAGCCCGATCATCCAATTTCCCACAGCACTGATGCTGGTCTGGAAATTGTTGCTACTCAAAAAGGACTGGTTGTAAAAAAAACGAAGAGAGATGGGAAATCAGGTAAGTTTTACGTACTCGAATATTTTTTTTCAAATATTTATAAGTATTTTTTTGCTTTTGGCACTTCGAGCTTGGTAACGGAAAATACCTGACAACATAAATATTGTTCATACTTACAAGTGCCACCGGTAATTTGTTATCTCAAAATGTACAGGTGGTCAATCCATATTTAAATTAGCTAAATGCTTCATCATTTCGTCCAATACCAATACCCTATTCTAATATAGGGCAACTGATGTTAATATTTTTTTTTACAAAAGCACAATTGTGGTTTCGGACAATACACAATTTATCTATGTAGTTCGTATCCTTCTAATCGTTATTAAACTACAAAAATTGATATAACTTCTTTATTACCAATTTGGCACAGTTATATACTTTTATATGGTTTAGATGAATCTCACCCTTTATTGTTTAATCTAAATTTAAACCAAATTTTTTAGTTGATTATATTCCTATTGATGAGTACTACTTCGGAATCGAGGAGGGGTATCCTGAATATAAAGAAGAGAAGGCTGAATTTCGATTTAAATGTGCTGTTTGTCAACGTATGTTTTACTCTAATATGAAACTGATGCACCACATACTTGGGCACGTCGATGAATTATTGCAAACGGCTCTGCACTTTGGAGACGTCAACCAATGTCGTGTATGCCATCAGCTTTTTTCGACTTCATTTGATCTGCGCTCGCATGTTCACCAGGTATTTCATCTCTTCAAAATTTTTAAATATATTACCTTATTATGTCGTCTGTCATACTATTCTGCATCACCTTCAGGAGCACCCATTTGCTAATACCACTATGTTGCTGGGTAGTCCGGATGGTACTGGATCGGGCTCTGTTGGTCTTGGGACAAGCGCAAATGGATTTAATGGGCTCGTTAGTGAGGGAGAATCTCTGCCTACGGCGTCACAGCTGCTAATGCAACAACAGCTTCGCGGAGTTGATCCTAGTATGGGAATAGCTGGTGGTCAACCATCAATTGCAGCAGAAACCCTTTTAGCTGGTTGGTCTTCCGTATTTTGTAAATTAAAAAAATTATTTTATTACCTACCATACTTGGCTTACATAAAATTAATTTATAGATTCACATCATTTGAAGCGAATTCTGTGCAATATTTGTTTAAATTGATTAACATTTTGTGTATGATATTTATAAAAAAGCAAATATATTTATTCGTCTATTTTTTATTGGTTTGAAATCTCCACACTTGCTTTATATTCTTACTGTCTTTCAGGACGATTGCATTTGGAGTGCGAAGTAGGTGAAGTCCCTCCCGAGGTTGCGTCTTCTGATGGCTTTAATGAAACTGTTAATCAAATGGCAATTGCTGCAACGACATGTAGAATATGTGGGAAGGATACTCCTAGCGAATTGGCCTTGGCTCACCATTTTCAATCGACCCATCGTCAGCGCGAAATGCCATACGTTTGCCGTCTTTGCAACTTCCGTTCTTCAATATATGAAGAATTAATTACCCATTTTAAAAAGGTAATTTTGTGTGGAATATCTTTGTTTCCTTCAAAATTTTCGGCTCATCGAAATCTTTATTTCTATAAGGATCAGTTTATTATACTTAGATCTAGCCTATATTTCATCTTATCACATTTATGTTTAAGAATGTATATTGAATCCCTAATTTCAATTGGCTTTAGCGAAATCCCGGAGCTTTAACCTAATAATTTTCTGAATTAAAATTTTTTTCCATTTTATTGCCTTAATTATTTTTTCAGGGTCATGGAAACTCTAACCACTTGTTATGCACGTATTGCCTGCGAATATTTACGCCTACGGACGCTCGTGGCCTGCCCTCATCATCATCTCCGGCTAACGCCTCACTTCCGGGTGGTGGTGTTAGCACCGCAGGGCTAGGCGCCGGGGTTGGCCAGACACAGGTATATCTTCAGCATTTGCGCATGCACCAAGTGCGTCATCAAATACGTCGCTGCCCTTTTTGTCGTTTGACTTTTATCAACAAGTCTGACTACCAGGTGCATCGGAAGCTAGATCACAAAGCTGGTTCCAGTGTCTCTGCGCATTCGGCCATATCCAGTACCGTCGTGACGACGGCAACACCTACGGGTGCTTCTAATCTGCCGCTTTTGACAGCTACGCCCTCCATCTCTGGAGCCCCAATGGAGACCGTGGAGGAACCAGTAGCTGAGGTTTTGGACCTCCCGGTTGTTGACCTTCAGATTGATCAAATCAATGTGAGGATTTAACTTCAATCGTTTTGATTCTTTTACCTGGATCCTGAAGCTGATAATTATTTGGGAGAATTTTAAAACTTTAATTCTTTCATGCCATTATTAGAGCTCTTTGGTAGTAAGCATGGT